TTATAAGATTGATGTTTTTTGCCCTTTAACTCCTCTTTTCCCTCTTGTCGGACGCCTCTTCATATGACTCACCCTGCGGTTATTATAATATATTAGTTGAACTCTACCCTACGCAAACAATAAAGCTATTCTTAATAGTCTTAACCAGCTAAAGCATATCCTTAATTCAAAATGTTTAATTGCCTTTTGTGTGAGGAAAATATCCTATATATTGACTTTGCCCCTCTTTTAAATTATGGAATGATTTTGTTGTAAATCTATATCTATCTCTTGTCACATACAGACTCACACATTTGCTCTATTATTTAATTTTTAAAATATTCGTTCATATTTTTTGTTTCACTTTATATTTTCTTCTCACTTACTCAGTCATAAAGAGAAAATATACTATGAATTCATAATGTCGATTTTACTATTGGGAAGTGTTATTGGCACTTCAAAAATCTCATTCTACACTCCTCACAAGTGTATTTTTCTTTCCTAATATAGAAAGTTTGGAGTGTAGAATGAGATTTTTGGAGTGCTAATAACAATTCCCTTACTGTTTCTCTATTAATTTTGATGCATTCTTAGTCGATGTTTTTAATTTTGTTCATAAATTCCATATAAATTATCCACAAATTCTTGTAAAAAATCGCTATTTGATATGAATCTCAATATCTTCATTGATATATCCATATTTATGAACTTAAGTATACCATTTCATATCTAGTATGTAGTCCTTGATTTTATTTTCTGTTATGTGATGATATATTCATGGTACACAAAGTACTTGCTTATAGTTATTGAGCCTTATTAAATGATCAATATGGTTAACCCCTCAATACATCAAACTCATTTTGTTGGATCTCAGCTTCACTTGTGTTTATCCTTGTTACACACAGTCGCCCAACTGCTTTGCAAGACAGGACAAGGGATAGCGACGAGGATGACATGAATGACAGAAATTTTGATGTAGCAGCTCTAGCAAATAATCTAAGCCAGGCTTTTAGATACAAAATTTATGAGAATGAGGATGCAGGAGAGGTATCTCTTTCTGTCCTCTTTTCTTGTTCCTCCACTTTTTTTGTTGGGCAAATGATTTGAATTTTCTGCATTACAGGACCAGGGAGCTCTTGATCGAGATGACGAGGTAATTATTTTGTTTCTGTCACTGATGTTTCCTTAGTTGATGTATAATACTTGATGGTAACTATTCTTATTGAAGCATGAGCAGTGCTCTAAAAAGCAGTCGCCTCGATTAACCTGAAATTGTTTATTAAATCGGCAAGGCTATTAGGCCGCGTAAGGCGGCCACTTGGGCGGATACTGGGCGGGATGGCTGACGGCGGCAGTGGTTTAGCAGCTTTAGTTAGGGTTTCTTATTTTAAGCAGGCGACAAATTAAAACTAGGAATATAAGACCCAACCTTCCATTTGTTTAATGAGAATAAAAGGCCCAACAAAACTTATGGGGTTAGAAAATGGTACAAAACCAACAGAATCTAAAATTTTACTCATATACCTATATCTCATAATATATAATAAATTTAATTAAAATAAAAAAAGGCCTAGGCCCCTCCCGCCGCCCGACTACCGCCTAGCGCCTTTAGAACCTTGAGCATGTGTAATCTCTGTAAAAGGTTGGAAGTAGAAACATGATAACCCATGAAAGCAAATTTTAATTGCTTTTTATTTTTGGTTTAATTACATTCTGAAATGAGTGGGTTTGATTTGTAAAATTGCAGGATGTCTACTTTGACGATGAATCTGCTGAAGTGGTCATATCATCCTTGCGTCTTGGTGATGACACGGGAAGGTAAGTTTGTAACCTTTTGTTTTTTACTGCTGTTTGTATGAAGAAAAATAAACTTTGAAATTGGGGTTCAGTGGAGAAACATTGCTTTTGAAAGGGTTTCAAATTCGTTTTGGTTTATAAAAATGTCGATTTTTCTTAACATCATCCCTATTGATGGATCTGCTAGTTTCTACTGTAGGTAAAAACTGGCCTAGAAAATTAGGTTTCCTCTAAAGAGTATCCTCTAAAGAGTCAATCCAAGACAATATAGATTGAAATGAAACAAATAATTAACAAGGCTTCTTAGGCTTGATGGTTCGCATGCAATCCTCAAGTGCAACTAGCAGTTAGGTGTATAAGGAGTTGTGCCATTTTCGGAGACACTTATATAGCCTCTAGCAGCTTGACTTGTAGACCTATAATACCACAACATAGCTAGAAAAGCTAAAATGAGATTTTATTGTATTCTCGTATCTTCCATTGTTCAAGGTGGAGTATCACATGCATAACATCGTATATGTCCTTGCAATGTATTAAATATGTTCAACTGATTACTTCATGAGGCTGGCATTTGACGTCTATAAATTTATCTCTAGTAGTAATGTCATATGTATATCATATTGTATATGTTTAGAGTGATGTACCTCGGTTGGAAATTGTTTGTCTTATAAATTTTATCTCTGGTTGTAATGCAAGTGCTTGATATTGTTGAAAGTGTCGAGTGTATGAGAACTTAGAATTGGCTCATCTGTTGTGTATTATAAGTTTTGGTGTAGAATATTGTTAATGTGAATGCTGAATTGTTTTAATCCTGAATGCAGCAGTTTATTCACAAATTCAAACTGGTTTGCGTTCCAAGATGATAGAATTGGTGATGAACCTGTGGGCACATCACCGTCGGAGATGGAAGAAGTAAACTTGAACGGGACTGCGAATGATGGTAATAGCAGTAGTGATGATGAAGTTGTGGTAGGGGATGATGATGAGTTGGCCGGAAGTAAAGACTCCGTCAATGGCACATCCAGTTCCAACACAAACCTTATGAATGGATTTAGCAACAGTGGAAACATGAACCCAGATGGCGAGAAGACAAGTGCATCCAATGAATTGGGGGGTTTCTTCAGATTTGAGACATCCGATAATGATGACATGTATGGAGACAGGCCTTTGCCTGAATGGGTGGGATGGAGTGAAGCTTCAGATTTGCAATTCGGCGGCGCAAGTGTAAATCCATTTGAGGATCATGATGACTCAGTTGTCAATCCTTCCACTGCGGAGGTAGTGGCATCTGATGTTGGTGCTAGTTTGCACTCAAGTGGAGAATCTATACTTTCAAATGGCTCTCCTCCATCCTCCACTGCTTCTACTGCAGGGTCAGCGGGAAGTGATGTGAGCCAGAGATCAGCTGCTGTGCCATCACTGTTTGAAGAGGATGTTGAATTCGTCGGTGTGGAGTTGGAGGGTACTGAGAAGGCTATGGAGCAGGCTCTTAAAGAGGGCATAGTAGGGGAGGCAGGGCCATTGAAGAAAAACATTATGCCAAAGGCGCTAGAAAAGGAGAACCCTGCCGATGGTGAGGCTGCAAATAAGGAGTTCAATGATGCCAACTACTGGAGGGTTGATCAGGAAGTAGCTGTTTTGGAGTGAATGGTGGGTTGATCCTTCTTAAAGCTGTTTGAACCTGAAATTGGGTCTGACAGCCAGGAGCCTATTTTCGGTTGGCAGTGTCAGCGGCTTCTACAGCAGTGGCAGTCATGTACAGTATATTTTTGTTCCTAAGGTAGGTTGTGTTATGGTTATTTTCGGTTTATTTATTGTTACTCATTGTTTACTATTTAAAGGTTGGTTTCTCCCTGATACCGGTTATGGGAATGTCCCAGATCCAAAAATGTTTTCGTATTTTCGTTTCTCGCTGGAATCATTCGTAATGTGGGATCAGTATCATTGTGGAATCCGGACTCATTAAGTATACATTGGTTAGGTATTGTGAGTCTATACATATCTACCGCAGTTTTGGTGGTCAGTGCCTTGTCTCGCTTTTGATAGAATTTTCTTATTAGCAAGCAAAGGGATTCAATGTGTTCATTGCCCTTTCGGTTTGGTTCGCTTCCACCAAACGTAAGGTTACGTGTCGGTTTGATTGCCATTTTACGTGAGTTAAAAACTCCTAAGATGGTTGTGAAATTGCTCTCATTTGGTTGCTTGGCGAAGGATGTCAGTTTGAAATTTATGGCCAAATGTTTAGACACATTACGATCGATTCCATAGCTCATGGACTTGCGTGACAATGTCAATGAGACAAGATGTTGAAGTTTTGAGCAGATCAAGAGTCCCTTGTCAGATTTTGGTCGTAATACGCTGCAAAATTCTAGAAACCACAGATTTAAGAACTTGTGTTACCGCAGATTGAGGAAGTGGGAAAATGGATTAAGGTCGGGCTAAAAAGGGTTGATCTTCATCGCCTTTTATTTTTGTTGGTACCGGTCAATTAACCGATACTTAATTTGAACCGTGATTTCGTTACGCCATCATGGCCCGCACATAATAGCTACTATAATACAAGGTTAACGATGTAAACCGATGTTACAGTAATAACAATGTCATTGTATGACCTTGTCATCATTTCTTGGACAACAAATTTATCCTTAAGTTACAAGTTACGTGGTGGTCTAGTGAGCAGTGTTAACATAATACCACAGTAATCTACCTTTTCGAGGACCGGAAAGACTTAGAGAAATTCCATCCTTTTTCTGGTCACTTTCGTGTGATTCATCAGCATCAAGAATCAAACTCAGAACGTGCAATGTGGAATACGAGATTGAAATTCGTCCCCAACTACTGGGATACCCCGTGGTGGTTTGCAGCTCAGCCATTAAGAAAGAACTATTCTTGGTGTACAAAAGTAAAAAAACCATTGCTATTGCTATAGCTAAGAGCTGATTTGGTATTACTGAAAGTATTTTAAAAGAGGTTTTTTTTTTAAAAAGCTGGGGCTAAAATTGTATTTGGTAAATGAAAAAAAAAATGTTTTTTTGTCAAAATCATGAGTCCAAAACAGCAAAAAAACAAAAACAACTGTACCCTTCTTCTGAAAACGATGTCTTTTTTCACAGGACAAGTCCACCATTGAAAAACACTTACAAAGCATACGGGGTTAAGCCCAAAAGTAAAAATAGCATGAACATCAAAATGTAGTTAGCCCAGGAAAATAGCAATAGTGCATGACAATTCCAAATTCCAATAGAATCAGAAGAGCAAAAAGACGAGCATACCCTTACTGGTACATTGTAGAACCTTCCAGAGCGAAGATCCAAACATTCCGCCCGTTCAGTATTTAAGCGCGCACAGCGGTTCCATTGCCAGCCTCAGGGCTTCGCAGCCTACAATCGGAGGAGGAGAATACGACGGAGCGGCGGCGGCGGCGGAGAGAACATGATCGAGGTAGTGCTGAACGACAGGCTCGGAAAGAAGGTCCGGGTGAAATGCAAGCGAGGACGACACCATCGGCGACCTCAAGAAGCTGGTGGCGGCCCAGACCGGGACCCGACCCGATAAGATCCGAATCCAGAAATGGTACAACATTTACAAGGATCACATCACTCTCAAGGATTACGAGATCCACGACGGCATGGGCCTCGAGCTCTACTATAACTGAATCGCAATGGTACGTCGTCGTTTGGCGTTCTGCAGGTTCGGGGAAAAGTGCGTTACGTGTATGTTGTGTCGTTCCATTCCAAGTTGCGTAATTGTGTTTCGTGGACAACTAATTGAGAAATAAATGGTTTCGTTTAAGAAGATTTAATGATATTAGCATGTACACTATTTCAATCAACCAAACAAGTTATCATGTATTTTGGTTTGGGAACGTTCAACTTTACTTGTTTTATGCTTTTAATTAACACTTTTGTTTTTTTGTTTTTTTTTGTCGAACACTTTTAATTAACACTTTGATTCATAAAACATTCTAACTCCTATATATGTTCTTGGCCCCACTAATAGTTCTGTAACTCCTATATATGTTCTTGGCCCTTCTAGATACAAAAAAACTGAGCGTAAGGATTAAAGCGGACAATATCGTGCTACGGTGGTGGAGCGAGCACGGGAAGTGATCCGCTCCGAGCCGGGATGTGACAATTTGGTATCAGAGTCTAACTCTGGTTGCGTGTGTGCCGACGAGGACGTCGGGCCTCTAAGGGAGGTGGATTGTGACATCCCACATCGTCCAGGGGTGTGATCCTTAAATGTATATTCTCATCCCTTCCTAGCACGAGGCCTTTTGGGAGCTCACTGGCTTTGGGTTCCGTAGGAACTCCGAAGTTAAGCGAGAAGGGGGCTAGAGCAATCCCATGATGGGTGACCCACTGGGAAGTTGCTCATGAGTTCCCAAAAACAAAACCGTGAGGGAATGGTAAGCTCAAAGCGGACAATATCGTGCTACGGTGGTGGAGCGGGCCCGGGAAGTGATCCGCCCGGGCGGGGATGTGACAGCAGAAACTATATTCTCAATGCATTAGATGATTCATTGTACGATGTCTATTTAGTATGCAAAACAGCCAAGGAACTTTGGGAATCACTTGAGAAAAAATATAAAACTGAGGATGCTGGTTCGAAGAAATTTGTCGTGGGCAAATTTTTGGACTACAAAATGGTGGATTCCAAGTCTGTTGTCTCTCAAACTAAAGATCTCCAAAAAATCATCCATGACATTCATGTTGAAGGGATGGTGATCAATGAGTCTTTCCACGTGGCGTCCTTTATAGAAAAACTGCCACCTTCTTGGAAAGAGTTCAAGAATTATCTCAAGCACAAATGTAAAGAGATGACCCTTGAGGATCTCATTGTAAGGCTGAGAATAGAGGAAGATAACAGAAAGAATGAGAAGGGCCTGGTTTCGAGTATGGAAGCCAAGGCGAATGTTGTTGAAGGAAGTTCATCAAAGCAAAGGCTGAAGTTCCAGAAAACTAAGAAGAAGAAAAACACTTTATCCCTGGTGCGAAAGGCAAAGACTTCAAGAAAATCAAGGGAAGTTGATGGGTTTATGGAAAGCAAGGCCATAGGGCTCAAGAATGTCGCCATCGAAGGGATCAAGGTCCTGGAAATCAAGGCAACAACAACTGCGCAAACCTGATTGAAAACAATGTGGATGCCTTGGCTGCAATGATTTCTGAAATCAACCTTGTATCTGATCACGTTGATTGGTGGATAGATACCGATGCAACTCGCCATGTGTGTGGTGACATAAATATGTTCTCTTCGTACCAGAAAATCGAGGGAAACGAGCAGCTGTTTATGGGAAATGCATCTGCATCTGTTGTGGCTGGACTAGGGAAATGTGTTCTAAAATTCACTTCTGGAAAGGAATTAACCCTTCTTGATGTGCTACATGTCCCCGATATAAGAAGAATCTTGTTTCTAGTCCTATCCTTAGTAATAAAGGATTCAAACTAGTTTTTGAGTCTAATAAGTTTGTACTAACTAAAGGGGGAATGTTTGTGGGGAAGGGTTACCTTGCTGATGGATTATTCAAACTAAATGTACTTGCTAATGCTATGAATGAAATAAATAATGCTTCTGCTTATATTGTTGATTCGTCTAATTTATGGCACTCTAGGTTAGGACATGTAAATTTTTGTTCACTTTTTAGAATGCATAATTTAGGTTTGCTGCCCAAAATTGATTATCTAGATAATGTTAAATGTGAAACTTGTACAAAATTGAAATTTGCGAGTCAAAACTTTAAATCAGTGCATGAAAAGTCCAATGATTTATTATATTTAATTCATAGTGACTTGTGTGATTTTAGATCATATCCAACTCGTGGTGGAAAGAACTATTATGTAACATTTATAGATGATTTCAGTAAGTATTGTTATGTTTATTTACTTCATAGTAAAGATGAGACCTTGGATATGTTTAAGACATATAAGGCAGAAGTTGAGAATCAACTTAACAAGAAGATTAAAGTCTTAAGGTCCGATAGGGAAGGAGAATATGAGTCTCATGCCTTTGCTGAATTTTGTGCCACACATGGCATAATTCATCAAACAACAGCCCCTTATACACCACAACAAAACGGTGTTGCTGAATGGAAAAATAGGACTTTTAAAGACATGATCAATTCTATGTTGAATAGCTTTAAGCTTCCACACAATTTGTGGGGTGAAGCTTTACTTACTACAAATAAAATTTTGAATCGAATTCCACCTAAAACGAGAAAGGAGTTACCATATGAATTATGGAAAGGAAGAACCCCAACGTTTAAATTGCTTAAAGTGTGGGGTTGCCTGGCAAAAGTACAAGTCCCATTGCCAAAGAGAACAAAATTAGGGCCTAAAACTATAAACTGTGTTTTTATTGGTTTTGCATCTAATAGTTCAGCTTATAGATTCTTAGTTTTTCATTCCGAAGTCAGTGATATACATGTCAATACTATTATAGAATCTATAAATGAAATATTTTTTGAGGATATATTTCCAAACAAAATAGGCAAGTCTAATTTATTGAAAAAGAGATTACATGATGATGTATCTGAGGTTAATGACGAACCTAGAGAACATGATGATGGTTCATCCTCGTCTAGAGTTCAAGAAGAAGAAGAACTTGAACCTAGAAGGAGTAAAAGGACAAAAATTCAAAAGGACTTTGGGCCTGATTTTGTGACCTTATTAACCGAGACAGAATCTCAATCATTCAAGGAGGCCATGTCCACTCGTGAAGCTCCATTTTGGAAGGATGCAGTTAACAGTGAGATAGATTCCATTATGCAAAATCATACATAGGAATTAGTCGATTTGCCCCCTGGCAATAAGCCAATTGGGTACAAATGGATATTTAAGAAGAAATTAAAACCTGATGGTACAATTGACAAATATAAGGCTCGGTTGGTAGCTAAAGGATACCGTCAAAAACATGGTTTGGATTTCTTTGATACATACTCGCCTGTAACGAGAATTACGTCAATAAGACTGTTGATTGCTATAGCTGCACTCCATAACATGGAAATACATCAAATGGATGTAAAGACTGCATTCTTAAATGGAGACTTAGATGAGGAAATATATATGGAACAACCTGAGGGGTTTGTGGTTAAAGGTCAAGAACACAAAGTTTGTAAACTTGTGAAATCACTATATGGGCTTAAACAAGCTCCAAAGCAATGACATGAACAATTTGACCATATTATGATAACACACGGTTTTAAGATAAACGAGTGTGATAAGTATGTCTACACAAAAACTCAAAATAATGCTTGTGTTATGTTGTATTTATATGTAGATGATATGCTTATAATGAGAACTAACAAAAGAGATAATAAATTGGACCAAGAAGATATTGAAATCAAGTTTCGATATGAAAGATCTTGGATTAGCTGATGTGATTCTTGGTGTAAAAATAAAAAGAAACCAAAAAGGATATATTCTTACACAGTCCCATTATATAGAAGCTACACTTAGAAAATATGGTCATTTGGAAAGTAAAGATGCAATTACTCCTTTTGATGCCAATAGCAAACTTAAGAAAAATAGAGGTGATGCTATATCTCAACGTAAATACTCACAAGTTATTGGAAGTCTTATGTACATTATCAACTGTACAAGGTCTGATATAACATACTCAGTTAGTAGACTAAGTAGATATACATGCAATCCTGGGCATGATCATTGGGAAGCTTTAATTCGAGTATTGAGATACTTAAATCATACAATGAATTATGGATTGCATTATACAAGGTATCCTCCTGTGCTTGAAGGATTTACTGATGCGAATTGGATATCGGATAGTAATGATACAAAATCCACAAGTGGATATGTATTTACTTTGGGAGGAGCAGCAATATCTTGGAACTCTTCTAAACAAACATGCATAGCCCGATCAACTATGGAATCGGAATTTATAGCTCTCGATATGGCTGGAGGAGAAGCTGAGTGGCTAAGAGATTTTTTGGAGGATGTTCCCATATGGCCTAAACCTATAACGGCAATATGTATTCACTGTGATAGTTTAGCTGCACAATATCGAGCTAAAAATAGTGTATATAATGGGAAGTCTAGACAAATTAGACGAAGGCATAATACAATAAAGCAATGGCTCTCTAGTGGTGTAATTTCTATTGACTGTGTTAAGTCAAAAGATAATATTATGGATCCGCTTACTAAAGATTTGTCTAGAGAGCAAGTTAAGCATACATCGAGGGGAATGGGTTTAAAGCCAATAGAGTAAAATGAAATTGCCAAACGGAAACCTAACCTAGTTGATTGGAGATCTCATGGTCTAGGTTCAATAGGCAAACTGGTTTGGCTAGATTAAAAAAGAAACACACTTACATACCCATTCCTACGATGGAAGAAGTGTGATAACTGCTGATGATGTAGGATACATTAGTTTAATGATATTGATACTTGTAAATCAAGTAGAATAGTAGCAGCCTATTCTTAATCAATATCACTTATACGAGAGTAAATGTGGGGTTGCATTTATGAGAATTACATGGCTACATTCTCTAAAGCTCTCATGAATCCAGGATTTGTTCAGGACCAAAAAGAACACAAACTTATGAATTTGTGATGTGTAAATGTGGCATATGTTTTGCTTATTGTCTTGATTTACTGCGGAGATGAACAATTCAAGATTTTATATTCACTGCGTCATCTAGTAAATCCGATAAGTATATACTAAGGTAGGTTCAAGTCCAAAAGACACATCTCCTGATGTATGTCACATTTATTGTTTACTCTCGTATCTTAATGTTTCTAGGACCAAAGAGTCGTCTCAAATGTGGGGTATTGTAGGAGTTTGAGACTCTCTTGTCTCACATTGGTCAACAGTATTTTTTTACTAGCCTTTATATAGGCTTATTCCTTTTTCTTAGTAATTAGAACTTGGATCATTTGGAAATGGATTGAAGGCTTGGGCCTTATGGTTGTGTGGATTAGGCTTGATGATTATACTATAATATTAATATTAATTAATATAAATTAATCAAGACAAGGGCCTTGGGCCACTTGGGGCCAAGGAATTAAAATTAATCTAATCAATTAGTTTTAATTTCGAATTAAGTTTTTAATTAAATTAATTAAAAATGTTTTGATTAATAGACACAACTCTTTGGAAAGAGTTGTATCTTTTTGGAAAGAGCTGTATAGCTTCAGATACATCCAAAAGGTGTTTGAAGATGTATGAAAAAGCCTATATACTGGAGTCCTCATTTCCATCAATCACTATCTTTTTCTTCTCTTTTGTCTTCCGTACAAAATTTCCAGAGAGTAAACACACAAAGCAATTCGCTAGAGTTCTATAATCCAGTGCGGGTTGTAGAATTAGTTAGTTGTATCCTGGTCAAGCAGACGTTGTAGAACCACAAGAACACGAGTGGGACGGAAATACTGTTCGAAGGACATAGCGTTTACGCTAACCTCTACCTTCAATTCATTCAAGTTAGTATCATTTTAATTTTTTGTAATTATTATGTTATTGCATTCTGTATTGCAAATATTTTTTGAATAATAAAGTATAAGTATTTCAATTCTGTATTTCTATTATTTTATTGTTTCTAAATTGTTCTCCAACAACAATGCCATTAGGTTTTTCATGACAATCTGCGTCGTAGTATTATTTAGTGTCATATTCTGTGGCAAAGGAAACCAAATGTACGTTTAAGAACTTTATTATCATCTACATCTTTCGTACACATTTTCTTTGATATGTGATTCAGTTGCATGTTTTCTCCAAACATTGCTACTTATACAATGTTTAACTTTATATATTCTTGTGAACAGACACAAACAACAAGACCTAATCAATCTTTTGGGAGCTACCTATTCCGCCATTCTCTTCATTGGAGCTACCAATGCTTCTGTTGTGCAATCCGTGGTTGCAGGTGAACGAACTGTTTTCTATCATGAAAGAGCAACTAGAATGTATCTAGAGTTGCCTTATGCATTTGTTCAGGTAAGATATTGACATCCATACTCGTTTATGTGGTTGTTTTTTTAATAGTCATTGTAATTTCATATCTTTGTTTATTGACATATATATTGCTGTTATAGGTGGCTATTGAGGCAATTTACGTTGCAATCCAAACCTTTGTCTATTCATGCCTTCTATTTTTCATGATCGGGTACAATTTCA